CTCCTAAATCACTCGTACGCACATCTTAAGAACAAATCTGTGAATACGAACATGTTCTTGCATGAGGCCCTATGAGCACTGTCCAGTGTTGCTCAGATATTTTCCCTCAACGTACTGATGAATTTCAGCCATAGACGCTACAACTAGGTATTGTTAACCTCACAATTCTTTGGGTCACATTTGATTTGATTCAGTTTCGCTTCAGTATTGCTTTGCATGCTTTAATATCAATTTCCTAATAATAACAAATACACAAATATTTCATTGGAGTCCCTGTGGATAATTTTTAGATATTTATTTTCTTGTCCATGCAAACAGAAATCGTATAACATTTTAGAGAAATAAAATATTTGGGAAAAAAAAAGCAGTAGAACAATAATACTTGCTTTAAGTATTTAAGTATTATGGAGTGAAAAAGCATAAAACCTGACAAATTCAAGGCTCAAAGTGAAAGAAAAATCCTGAGCCTGAAACATTTTTGTGGTGGTGATAGGAATAAAATCATCACATATTTTGACTCTACAATCTGTGAGAATCTGTGCAAAAWATCCACTCTTTAAATGGCAGACTACGAATGGGGCAGTGGGGTATTTGCTTCCCTACACCAGAGCCTGAGACAAACCAATTGTATTGCAAGGGCAGGTAAGAATATAAGTATGTACATTATTTACAACAGAGTCCTTCACTGATTTTTAAAGTCAACACAAACTGTGTCATCATCAACATTCTGTCTGTAATATAATCCTGCAGCCAAGAGGTATCACGAAACATGTACCATCACCTCGCTTTATTTATATAAGATCCCGTTTAAAATTTAAATCAGCAGATTTTCACGTTAACTATGAATATCTGACAATAATGTTAMGGAGAAAACTTTTATTTTTGGGGAAGGAAGGAAAGCTAGACATCAAACGTAAAATTAGACACCACTTGGCTGTACTTGGTCACACAAACTTACATCTTTCTGTGTTAATAGTTTTATTCAAGGACTAAAGTAACCAAGACAGACAGGCTGTGTGCGCTCTCCTGGTGACTAAACAGCTGTTAGCACAACACTAGCTTACCTTTACAAACGTTGAGCAATTCAGCTCTTTGCTCTTAAACACCACAAAATCTACCACATCCCTGACCGTCGTGATGCAGCCAGGCCAGTTTCCTTGTTTTCAGGCTAGTTACGATGGAGTTTTGTTTTAACAAATGTGCGTGATGTGTCCCACGATTATTACCGACTGTCCAGAAACAATTACAATCGTTCTGGATCGCACCCCATCAAAGCAAAAACTAGCCAGGGGATTGAATCGATTTTTTTTTTTAATTATTGCATTGCTTTTCTGATCATTTTACCCACCCTTACGGCTGCGACTAACAAGTCGCATCCATATTTAGCTACAGTGGGTTGAATGTGACATCGCGTCATCTACTGTGCATGCGGGTCGCATCAGGGTCATGAAGAGCACACACTGGAGTCAGATGGAAGCCGAATTTAAAATATAAAGTTAACAATAATGCCTAAAACAATCAAATAAAAAAGAAGAGAATTTAAGACCTGCCGAGTGAATATGGCCGTTGAAGTATCGCATTAGAAAAGGTTAATGGAAATGGTAAAATTCGGGGGGAAAAAACGTCCTCAATTTTGTAAAAACAGTTCTTATGCATGCTTGAGGTAGTTTTTGGGTGTTCAAAAATAAAGAGTTAATATGCAAAAGGGGAGATGGAAAGAGATTCGCTAAATAAGTTCTGAAGAAGCGAACATTTACCTCACATCATTGATCAGCTGTTTCCACGCTCAGCGTCTTCCCAGCTATTCCCATAAGAATTATATTTCTTTCTCTAYGCCTCTGGGCAGAATGTAGTTTTCTCGTGATGTGTTTTCCCTGCTAGTTTCCAGCTTCTACTTCCTGTTTATTACAGACATGCGTAACGTCACTGTTGCCCTGATTGATTCACTCCATTTCTCCCCCCCCCCCCCTTTTTTTGCAACATTCTAAAAGGTTGCTCAAAATTCACATTATAGTTAGATAGAAAAATGGTGTTTGAGCTAATTCTGTTCCATAAACTGCACATTAGTGATAGACCCACGATGGTTTTATTGTTTGGTTCAAGGGCAATAACTCATTAAATCAAAATTTCTTTATTTTTCTTTAAATGACAAGGGTTAAAAGCAGCAAACAGCTGTGATTCTCATTGAGCATCGAGTGTGGCTGGCTAATAAATGGAGGAAAAACATGCAGTTTGTCTGATATTGCACAGATTCGCTCTGATCAGTTTTAGCAGTAAGGGCAATTTCAAATGTTTCTAAAAATAACAAATGTGATCACAATGGCTAGCTTCCAGTCCAGTCTTGTGGGAACTATTTATTGTTAAGCGTAACAAGACTAGAGTTTGAGTATCTCTATAATGGTGCAACTTCAGGTACTCTGTGGTCATGACAGCTGTGCAATAGGTCTATATGAAAAAGTGTGGCACATATTATAATCAAATATTAGCAACTAATAACTGTAAATGAAAAAAATATTTTTTTATAGTTGACCTGTTCAGCTCAGATTATAGAAGCAAAAAGAGATCAACTTTATTACACGAAGATGATGCTTGGGGTGTTAAGTAAAATACATAGATGTTGTTTTTATTAGAAGAGAAAGGTGTTAATCCAGGATATTATGTCAGTGAATTAAGCTGCAAGGGGAGGAACCTCTGTGTTTAAATTTACCCAAGCACTACTATAACGTTCTATCACACTATAATGTTTTAGACAACTTTTAACAATTTATGAAAAGTTTGTCCAACACTAAAAGCTCTAAGCTGAAGATAACTATTTAAATACTACTGGAAGCCTCTTTTGGACCTATAAATACTGAAATGCTAACAAGATTAGATTGAATATATCGCCAATACGAGTAAAATAGTCATAACAAAATTTTCATAAGTCGGCATAAGTTGTCTAAAATGTTTTAGTGTGGCAGGGCCATAACAACAACAACAACAATAACAATAATAATAATAATAATAATAATGAAACACTAGACATTCAAACACATTTAGTCAAATGAAATCTCTGACTTTATAAGTCATTATGGAAATATGAGCAGAAAAACAAAAGCACCAGAGCTCATACTAATAGTGATCCTTTAACTTAAAGTACAGCAGATAAACAATAAACAAATGGTTGGTCAGAAGTCATTCTAACCCAMTAAATTACCCACAGGTGTTTGTTTCTTACCTTTTAGCCCACTGTGATCTTGTCTGAACGGGTTTGGTGCATGATGATGGAAACACAGATGGTACAAAATCCGGACTGTTTGTGTCCATCGAAGCCACTCCTGTAAACCATAAAATTAAATGAATAAATAAATAAATGAACTTTTATGCTACATGTCGTAAATGACTTTTATATCTCTATCGAAAAGCCAACCGCTTCATGAGACATTCAGATGAGAAGTGAAGCTACCTGAGATGAAATGAGCGCCACAAACCCGATGATTCCCAGTGAGCTCCTTCTTGTTGCCGTTAGCTTTTTGGACCGCTTCGACCCACAAACGCCTCCGGTTTGCATGAAAAGGACGAAATCCACAAGGAATTCTGTAAAATCTTAGGCTGCTGTTGCGACTAAAGAGGTTTTTACAACCAGCCACGCAACAATGAGACATTTTAGCTTTAAAAACGAGACGAACACTGAATTAGCATTGCTATCGGGAAGTTAAACAAAACTCAACTTCCGCTGCCGAAATGCGCGCGCATCATGACGATGACGTCACGTCGAGGCAAAAAAATATATTAAAAATCAGGACTAAATCAGGACTTTTTAGTTGGTAATTTACAGTGGCGGGCAGCACTAATCTAAAAATTAGTTCCACTAGCCCTAAAGCACTAA